GAGATCACTGGTGATCTTCTTGAATGTTCTGCTACAAGAAAATTGAATATTAAAGATGTTAACTAAATGTGCAAATGATGTAATAGAATAAGGAGGAACATTCAACTGCCATTTAAGAGCTGATCCTGTGAGGATTGAACCAAATCCCTTGCATAGGCAAGCTTCCTTCAAGTGTGCGGGGATGGGAATGATCTCCATCCTTTCTCGGTACTGCGCCACATGCTCCTCAGGATCCGTAGTTCCATCATAAGGCTTCATGTTGGCAGTTTGGAAGCGCTTTGGAACTTCGGTGTCAGCTATTGCAGGAGAAAATCTCGAGATCCTATGGCTTGTGGGAGATGCTTCCGGTATAGGTTGAACTACCTCGAGCACACTTGAGATCATTTGTCTTAATTGCTGAAGTTCCTTGGCCATAATTGGAATCATTCATGCATCAAGGTTCATAGAGTTAGTATTAAAAATATTGCTATTTATGAAGTTACTAGTATCGGGATTTCTAGGACTAGTGAAAGGTTCATCGAGATCATGGATCATAGATGCTCGATTATTTGGAGTTGTCCCCCAGGTCGATGTAGTAGTTGCAGGAATCGTATTCCTGTGTTGGTTCCCTGAGGATCCTGCGGTATCAAAGTTCAAGATCTTCGGCTGCATGACCGTAGGTGCTGTCTCCTGGGATCTTTGGATCTCGGCTTTCATCCTCTCCACTTCCTTAAGCAGAGTCCTGTTGTTGGGACATATGTTGTGTCATTTTCTTAATCATGGCGAGGAGCTCCGTATTGGAGACCATAGCAGGAGGATCCTGGAGTCCTACGGATCCCAGACTTCCTCCGCTGACAACCGGAGAGGTGTTTCTCTTAGAAGTGTCGGGTGCTTTCCTCTGATAAGGGGGTCCACTCGGAGGATGTGGTAGGTTTTTTGTTGGAATAGTAGGAATGAAGGATAAGGATAAGGTTGGTTGAGTAGATATGATTTTCCGAAGGTTACGAACACCACGTCCCCACGGTGGGCGCCAAATTGTTTTGGTCGAAAAATGAACAATCAATAATCAACCAAATTGTATGATAGGTTGTGATGTTCGAGGTGAAACAAGTATGAAATGTTAGACAAGGTGACACAATGCTTTACAAGGAAAGCCCTTGATCATTGCTAGGATCTTCGACACAAAACCTTGGGAGGTGATAATGATCACCTGCCTTGATGATTTTATTGATGTAAAATGTTAATTACAGAGATGAATGTGTAAATGTCAGTACAAGTATCGTAGATGAGCTAATCGTGTTTTGTGTGTGTAATACAAGTGTTATTTATAGTCTAATGCTAATAACAAGAAGTCCGATAATTTCGGGATCCTCCGAGAATCAGCATATGAACGTTGTTTAACTTGGTATTCTGGGTCTTTTGCATGGTTGAGACGATTGTCCATTGAGAATAAGTCCTTAGTTAACTAATTCCGCACATATGAGAAAAAGAAAGTAAAATACAGGCATTGTAAGTGTTATAAAATATTAACGATAATAATCAGGATCCTGAGCCTGTAGCAATATTAAGGATCTTGCTCCTAAAAATCTCCATTTTTTCCCTGTATTGTGCCACATGTTCTTCGGGATCTGTAGTTCCATCGTAAGGTTTCATGTTGGGAGTTTGGAAGCACTTTGGGACTTCAGTATCAACTATCATAGGAGCAAATCTTGAGATCATGTGGATCGTGGGGGATACCTATGGTATAGGTTGGACCACTTCGGGCATACTTGAGATCATCTGCCTTAACTGTTGAAGTTCCTTGGCCATGACCGGCCTCATTCTTACATCAAGGTCCATAGAGTTTGTATTAAAAGTATTATTATTCACCAAGTTACCAGGATCCTTGTTATTGGGGGTGATGAAGGTTTCTCCAGGATCCTGGATCACATGGGCCCGCTCGTTTAGAGCTGCACCCCAAGTGGGAGCAGGTGTCGGTATTGAGGATCCTATCTGTCGGTGGTTTCCTGAGGATCTTGTGTTGTCAAAGTTCAGGATCATGGGCTGCAAGATCGAGGGTGATGCTTCTTGGGGTTTATGTATCTCTGCCTTTATTATCTCTATTTCTTTCAGCACTGTCTTGTTCTCCTCCTGTTGCTGAGTAACTTGTCGTTCTAGTCTCTTCATCATAGCAAAGATCCCGTTGTTGGAAATCACTAGAGGAGGATCCTGAAATCCTCAAGTAGTGACTGGAGAAGTGTTTTTCTTCGGTGCCTCAGGGGTCTTTTTAGGAGCTCCGCCTGGAGGTGGTGGAAGGTTTTAGAGGAAATGGGAGGAATAGAGGAAGAGGATAAGGTTGGTTGGGTAGACATGATTTTTGAATGATTGTCAACACCACGACCACACGGTGGGCGCCAAATTGTTTTGGTCAAAAATTGATCAAATATTATTTAACCAAATTGTATGAGAGGATGTGGTGATTAATGTAATGCAAATATCGAATAATGATCAAAGTAAGACAAATAAGTTATAAGGAAAGCCCTTGATTCTTTATAGGATCTCCGACATAAAATCTTGGGAGGTGATAATGATCATTTGCCTTGTTGTTTTTATTGATTTAAATGTGAAATTACAGTAATGGTGATGGTAATACGAATACAAATGTAGTAGTAGAGCTAACTGTGTTCGTAGTATGTGTATTTATAGTCTAGACTAAATAACAATAAGTTCGATATTTTCGGGATCCTCTTGAATGAGTATATATACGTTGTTTGACTTGGTATTTCCGGGTCTTAAGCCTGTTTGAAGCGATTCCTCATTGAGAATGATTTTTTTGTTGACCATTTCTACACATGTGAGAAAAAGAAATAAAAATATAACCATTAAAAGTGTTAGGAAATTATAACGATAATGACTAGGATCCTGAGGTATGTTTAACGATCATGAGGCCTCGTTAACATCAAGGATCCTGAATATGGTTCTGGGATCGTGCCCTTAACAGTTGTCAAAATGAAACTAATCGTCGTCGCTGCAACACGCGGACATGTTAGTAGTGTGTGTGTGTGTGTGTGTGTATATATATATATATTATATATATATATATATATATATATATATATATATATATATATATATATATATATCAAAGTATTTTTTTGTATGTTTCTTTTTTTTTTTTATGAATTCTCGGGTCTTCATGTATGTATTTAAATCCCTGAGTATCCTAGGTGCTAGTTTAAATACATTCACATACATGATACTAGGGATGAACTTTTTAAATGATAAATCGAACCGGAACCGGTTGGAACCGAGTAGTGGTATTCGGTTCAGTTCCCCCAATCCATCATTCTCGGTTTTCGGTTCGAGTCTGGTTTGGACCGGTTCCCCAAATCCATTATTTATATAACTTGAAGCATTTATTATTTACAAATTATGATATATATTGTGTTATAAATGTATATTAGTTGGCATCCAAAATAGTTATTACGACTTAAGGCGGTAACAAAGGGAAAAAAAATATTTTTGAGCAATTTATCTATTAAAGTAAATAATGATATTTAAATATTAACAAATGTTACAAAAATATTTAAAACTACTTACTTGGTATGTTGTAGTTTAATCATTGTTTAAGTATATGATTAATCTGTTCTAAACATACAAACAACCTTGTATATGAGAAGTATATATCTCCGATGTAAATCTTTGATCTTAGGACATGAAAACTATGTGAAATTAGAATTATGACATTACTTAAGGAAATCCTAAAAATCACAAATCCCGCTACTTTTGATCCAGATGTTGCTCAGCACACAATATACTCGCACCTGTGTGAACGCAATCCAAAAAATCAAATGCAAAAAGCCAAAATTTGACAACAAATGCCCTCCTCGTTCTCTCTTTCTCTCTAAAACCCCATTAAACTTCTCTCTATCTCTCTCTATACCTTGCCACCTCAATTTCAATCACCTCTTTAAATTTCCAGTTCATATGTTGCACAATCTTCTTCTTATCGCATACATACAATACACCGAAATTGAATCGTTCTTCAAGTTCGCGTCATTGTTCATGAGCTTGTAAGGTAAAAAATTGATATTTGAAACGGAATTTCTTCATTCGGATTTTTGTAAGATCGTATTTATTCGGTTTTAGTTTATTGCGTCGATTGATGCAAGTGTAGGGTTTGATTCTTGACGGGTTTTGTGATTTTGGTTTGTAATTTGTGTTCATATGATGCCGCTTTTATAAGTAGATGCGGTTTGATTGTTTGATTCAAATATGCATTGGTGTATGTGACGGTGAAGCGGTTCTAGCGTTTGATTGTTGTCAAGATTATGGATGAATTTTGGTTTGATGCTATAAAGTTCAAAAAATTTGAATTTGGGTTTTTGCATTGGAAAGTGCATTGACGCGACAACGATCTATCAAAAATCCTTATTTTGTGCATGAATTCTGCTTAGATATTTGTAAATTTGGAAGAATCGAAAACCAATTTCTTAATTAGCAAGTTCATTTGTGCTATAATGATCAATCACTTCTAGCGTCTGATTGTTCTTGAATTTATGTTATTTTGTGCATGGATTGTACTTAGATTTTGTGAATTTGCAAAAATCTGAGACGAATTGCTTAATTAGTAGGTTCATTTGTGCTATGATGATCAATCAATTCTAGCATTTACTTGTTCTTAAATTCCTGTTGTTTTGTGTGCTGGAATTTTGCTTAGATTCTTGTGGATCTAAACAATCGTGCTTAGATTCTTGTGAATCTGAAAGAATAGGAGGTCAATTGCTCTCCTAGAAAGTTCATTTTTGCTAGGATGGTCAATCAATTCTAGTTCTTGATTGTTCTTGATTTTTCCTCATCATTTGTTGTGAAATTAAATTGATAAGACCTTTAAGTACATTCTTCTTACAACTGGTTATCTGATTTCGAGTAGCACATAATCACTTTCAGGAGACACATCTGAAGATAACCTTCATTCTAAAATATTCCAGTTTGATTTTGTAAGGTTTATCACCTTCAGATTGAAATTAAATAGTTTCATAATGTGCGAGAAATCAAGAAATAATTCCATTCCGGAGAAATCACCTTCTGTTGGGGATCCAACTGAAAACCGTAAAAGAAAACATGATTCAACTGAACCATTAAACCAAACCGAAGTACAAAAACGACCAAAGCGTGACGTGAGACTTCCCTCTTCATTGCATGATTTTTACGTAGAGCCTTCCCGAAAATCAACCCGTAAACACAAACCCCGTAAAATTAGAAAAAGTGGAGTTTGCATGATGAATGCAAGTGGTAATAACTTCAATGAAGATATATACGACGTATGTGGTGGTGATTATGGTGAACTAGTTGGTTGCGATGATTGCCCTGCAACATTCCATTTGAGTTGCCTTCAAATCGAAGTAATAAAAGTTTTTTTTTCGTTTTCTTTAACTCTTTATATTAATTACATTTAGATGTATTTATTTATAATTAATGTTTTTAATTTGTGCATTGTAGAAGTTACCTTCCGAACCATGGTACTGTATGTACTGTTCTTGCAAATTTTGTGGAGAGGTCGCTTTTGGTGCACACATTTGCTGGATTCGTGATTGGATATGGTCATGTTGCTTGTGTGAAGACAAATGTATGTAATCAGGATTCGATTTCATTCCATTTTGGTTACAAAATCTGATGAATCTTGCTAATGATGTGTGTGTTTTATGGTACTGCAGTCCATAAAACGTGCGGAGAAGCGAATTTTGCAAAAATAGAGTCTGATGATCTAGCTTTATGTGGAAAGACATGTCATGAGGTATAAACCTAAAATGATGTCATTTCAAATTGAACAATAAAAAATATAAAATTACTGATCTGGTTCTACTGAACTAGTTTGTTTTTTTGGTTATATGTGACATTAAGTGACTAACCTTTTGTTTGTTGATATATAGATGTATGAGGCTCTTCAGGCCATACTTGGAGTCAAAAGTGAAGTTGGGGAAGGATTTTCATTCACACTTCTCAAGCATTTTGATGTGAGCGAGGATCTTGAAACTGATGCCAAAAAGATCAAATGCAATAGCAAATTGGCTGTTGCACTTTCGGTTATGAAGGAATGTTTCCTTCCGATTGTTGACCCCAGAACCGGAGTTGATATGATCCACAATTTAGTATACAACTGCGGGTAATTTCATGTCTTTTTAAATCAATTATCCCTCATAACAGTGAAATACCAAACACTTTTTCGAAAGTACCCACGACATATCAACAACAATTTTACAACTTTGATCAATAATATATGTAGTTATATGAACGAAAATAATAATAAAGTGGGGTTAAAGGGGATGACATGACGTGCTAATATTGAATGACAAAGGTGACATGACATAATGTGCAAAATCTTTTGCAGGTATTTTGAAAGTCCTATTGGTATCGCTATAAGATTTTAGGGCAATAGGGGCGATAAATGTTGTTGGAAATCATCCCTTCCTTTAAACCCACCTGCAAACCCGCAGCTATCGACTCTCACATGATTTACACAGCAACCAGGAAACATGTTTTGGTCTACACTATTTATAAACTAAAACAATTAAACTGTTAAACAAATAAACATGGTAAATAAATGCTTGCTAGCTGGCCTATGCATAATCTCCACTTCATATTTTGCCATGCATAATATTCGGTCAACGCTCCTCATCTCCATAACACTAGGACAAACAAGTAACTGTCTACCCATCTGACCCGCTCCATGACCCATCAAGATTATCCAACAAATGCTACCGCTAACATGAAGCAACGGTGTTCGCTAAAAAAATGCTTTTTGTATTGTAAAAGGAATAAAAACTTAATAGTTGTTATGATAGGGTGTTAAAAATCCTGAATCACTTCCTAAAATTAAAAAAAATACAATCTTTTAGATCATCATTGACAAAGACAAAGTAGGTAACATAATTGCATTTAGGGCCTCATATATCGAAAACATTTCAGGTCAAACTTCAAACGACTGAATCATGGTGGTTTCTTCACTGCAATCATGGAGAAGGATGATGAAGTGATATCCGTAGCATCGATAAGGTTATTTCTCTAATTCATTTCTATAAATCAAGGCGGGAGGTAGTAGGTGTCATTTGACGGGTATCCTAACAGACATTTTATTTGTATTTGTTGACCATATGTCAGGGTTCATGGGAAGAAGCTTGCAGAAATGCCTTTTATCGGCACACGTAAAATCTATAGGTGGCAAGGAATGTGTCGCCGCCTACTACATTCGGTTGAATCCGTACGTTTCCATTTCTCTCAATGAAAGTTACATTTATACCGGAATTTATTTCTCATTTTGCAATTAATATATATATGGTGAGTAAATTAATTTTTCAGCCTAATAAAGTTGTAACAATGACTGAAATTCCAGGTTCTCTCTTTTCTTGGTGTCGAGGAGCTGGTCATTCCTGCCAATCCTAATCTTTTAGGAACATGGACAACAGTTTTCGGATTCAAGCCGCTTGAAGAATCAACAAGGCAGAACATGAAATCCATGAGCATCGTAGTCTTTCCAGGAACTTATATGCTTCAGAAACATATTCCCCAAAAACCAGTCCACCAATATATAGGAAGCTTGGAAGAGTTACAGGTATTTTTTTCTGTCCTTTGAAAAATTCAATACTTGATTTGACAGATTGGGTTTTATAACAGAATCAAATTATTTGAGAAGACCACAAAACTATTGTCTCGAGAACGGCCGAGATTGAGTTTAGAACACACTCTGATTTGACATTGCTAGTGTATCCAACATCGGTGCGACATGATTCTATAAGTGTTTGTTGGCGTCTCCTTCTCTTCATAAGGGATCTTTTGGAGAGACAATCTTTGACTCTACAAATATCTTACAAACATATAACTTATATGACAAATATCTAAAACAGCATCAAATAATAGGTAATTTTAACTTCGAAACAAACCAAGATAGTAACGGTATTTGTTTCTTTTAACGTTTTATTACCACTAGAAAATACAGCCATAATTCTTAGAAAGTGAAAGGTCATTTTTTTCCTTGTAAATTTGTATGGATGCAAGTGTTTGATATAAGATTAACCTATTTTGATGCTAAATTTTCATGATTCGTGCATGAGGTTGTCCTTTAAAATACCGAGTTGACTCGGCGATTAACTCAGGTTTTGGCTACTATCCTTGCAGGTAGGCTTATGTAAAGCTGTACAAGTTACTTTTAGTTCTGTCAGAGAATACACAATCCATTCATAACGGTAAATAACTGCATTTCTAGAGATTTTACTGGTTACAAATGGATCTTTTTATAAGTTTGACAACAGTAGTATATAATAATTATAATAGATGTTCACAAAAGATTTTGTTTTTCCATTTTGGATGTTAACTTTCTTATATATATGCTGGGTGGATCTTTGGATACGTGTTGAAAGATTTTGTTATTCGTGCATAATTTCCGGTGTTTGGTGATGTTTGGGTATTTTAATTGATGTTCAAATAGCAGCCCCAAACAGCAGCCCACTTATCTTTATTTATTCTTAGGACTAATTTAGTTCAGTTATCTAGAATAACAACTAGCCTATATGTTTTACCAACTAAGGGCTTTCAGTGAGAGTGAATGGAGAAGATAAAGGGTAATGTGTCATGTAATGTGTTAAACCTTTTATTCCGGTAAATTTAAATTAAAGGAAAGAGACTGAACCATATTGGACAGTTCAATAATAGTGAAATGGAGGTCATCAATCCTCACCAACCCACGTTTTTAATTAAAAAGTTAAACAAATAAAAATAGTTTAAAATTTAAATTAAACTAGCGTAAAAAATAAAATAATAACCTACATTCTTTAATAAAAAAAAAAGATTTTTTTTAGAAAAATTACTATATTTTCACCATTTTATCTGAAAACCCACTATTTTTTTTTGTAGTAAAACTACTCATTTCTAAAAAGATTCAAAATACCGTTCATATTTTTTTTTTCAAAATACATCATTTTCAAAGAAAAAACATTTTTTAGAATACATTGAATTTTTTTTACCATACAAGAGAGTTTGTTAACTACTAGGATGAGATTGACTTGGTTTTCATAAAAAAACCAAATCAAAAATTTCGCTTTTTGACTTCCAATATATCAAACCATTGAGGTTTTCAGTTTTTATTTTTATTTTTATTTTCATGGATATCTTCATAAAAAATGTTGTTAAAATTTAATTAAAATATGTAATTTCCTATAACAAAATACAAGATAAGACCAACATATACATTGAATAACATTATTGTCAAAGATCTTAAGATGACCATAGAAAGGAAATTCAAATGAGCAGGTAGTAAACTTTTTTTTTATTATTATTTCAACGTGGATTTCTCCTCCAATGAAACACATATCCATGATCATATCCATGATCATCTGCAAAAGATCTTGTCAATAACTCACCATATCCATGATCATATCCATGATCATCTGCAAAAGATCTTGTCAATAACTCACCATCTACATCAATATACCTAATACATCATTTAATATCCTTGATTAAATATCATTTGCCATCAATAACCCTAGCAGAAGAAATTACACTAAGTAACGAAGAAAAACTAACATATTTGTACTCAGACATTGCATAGAACAAATTCAAATCCTTGACGTATTCATCAATGATCTTCACCTTCACATTCGATTAGATTTAATCAAGTGTAGCATTCATATTGCATGGTACAATATTAGTAAAAACATGTTTTGAAAGCGTTGATGTTGGAGAGTACTCCATTATTCCTGATTGAGTGTCTTTTTCCATGTAATGAATATGAACAGAGGATTCGATTAAGGATTAATAACAAAAGATTTTGGAAGTAGGGATGAAAAATGTAGGGTTTGCAATTATATAGAGTTGTGACGGTTTTCTTAAGGAGTATGTATGGGAAATCAAAAAGAAGTTGATTGGAGATAAAGTATGTCCACATGTTATCACTTTATTGCAGCCTTAAAATGTGACATCCCCATTTTCACGGCCAAAAAAGACCAATTTTGTTTATGCTTTATAAAATCAGAGTACCTCTTTTAATAAAAGTGTTGCGGAATTTGTTCCCAGAAAACATGATAAATAGGTTATCAAAGCATTTCCGAAGAAATGTATTTTTATTCATTTTCAACACATTGGGATGTCATCGTCGATACAGAAACATAAGCATAAACAGAACTTACATTTATTTACACTAGTGATCTACATCTCTTTTAAATCTCTCAGTGTAAAGTAGCTTCGTATCGACATCTGTGATACAAATAAGCTTGAGTGGGTCAGGTTGGGAAACCTGGTGAGTACATAGGGTTTTCAACCCACAATAATATAATTATTATGTTTAAACAACAAACAATCAACCCAATTACCCATCCCCATTATCTTCATCACTCTTAAGGGTCTACCCTAAGAGTCATCTATCCTGCATTCGTTCATTCCAAAGTCCCTTGATTCTAGGGTTTATAAGACAGGCACTAAGTCCATAGCTGTCAATGCTCATTTGTAAATCACTAAATCCATAGCTGCTAAAGTTCATTCATCGGGTACTAAATCCATAGCTACCAGTGCTTATATAATAGGTATTAAGTCCATAGCTACCAACATTTATCTATCAGGTACTAAGTCCATAGCTATCAACGTTTATTCAATAGGCACTAAGTCCATAGCTGCCAATGTTCACTCATATCATCTTTTATCTCTCATCCTTCATCTACCCATGTTATACCCAACATATTTGTAGATATAAAATACGTATACAGTTTAAATCATTTAAAACATGTATAAAATCGTTCATCCAGCATAGATAGCAAGTATACAGGTTATATGCACACATAACACGTAATTTATATAAAATATTTCATATCTATGTGTAAGATGAAAGTAACTATGTACTCACTTGATTAGGTGGTGACTCTGCACTTGGACAGCACTTCGTTACTCTTAAAACAATTTCCTTCGAAAAAAACCTAGTATCATTACCACTATGGTTTAGTCTAATATTCATTGCGACTAATTATTAGTCTTAGCATTATTATTATTGTATAAGCGTTTAAACAATATTTTCCAACCACTATGTACAGACAGGGGCCAGACATAAAACACCGGAGGGTAGGACCATTTTGGCATATAGCACTTCTGAAATCCAACAACCCTATGCGTCCCTTTAAACCAGATTCCCCGTACCGCGAGTAGTTAAAAAGATATTATAACGACGCTTATATAACCCATAATAATGGCTCAAATAATTATTATAAAGTCCTAATAACGTTACTATATTTAAATAAAAGTTATATTAAAAATTAGGTAGGCGTATCTTACCTACGAGGGGGTTTGGCTAGAAGCCGGGCTCTGCAGGGGCAGGACTTCCGAGCCGAAAGCTCTTCTTCTCGGAGCCGTCGAGCGCTCCGGGGCTTTCTTCTAGCACTAGGGGAGTTTTTGGGAGGTTTAGAGAGAGTGTAGAGAGAAGAAAGAATGAGAAATGTGTGAAGAAAATGAGGGTGGGAGAGGTTCTATTTATAGGGTGAAATATGGCTGAACTTGGTGCCACATGTCACCATCTGGTGGCAAGACTTGGGGAGAAAGCAATGGCCAAGATTGTGCCACATCACCCATTTTCGCACAGCACACTTCCGACTTCTAAAATCCGTAACTTTCGCATACGAGCTCCGTTTTTGACGTTCTTTATATCCACGCGTAGGTAAAAATAAGATCTACAACTTTCCTTTTGACTCCGTCGGCTAATTTCGACCGATCTTAAATTTAACAGTAGAAGGTGACTACACTGTTAAATGTCCGCTTAAAATTCATAACATCTACATACGGACTCCGTTTTCGTCTGTCTTTTTGTCGTTGAGTTCCTATTAATGAGATCTTCAATTCTCATTTAGGTCGCGTTGGCCAAAAACCGCGCGATCTAAAATTCAAGTTTCGGGTCGTGCACTGCTAGGCCAAATCTTAGAAAAATCATAACTTCCTCATACGAAGTCAGATTTGGGCGTTCTTTTTATGCACGCTCTCGGTTTAACGTATACTACAACTTTTGTTTAGATCACTAAGGCCAAAAAGTCTTCTATCGTAAATTCACTATTTACGTCGCGTAGTGCCGTGCCGGTTTTGTCGCGAAACTTCGACGGGCCATAACTTCTTCGTTATAACTCGGATTTCGGCATTATTTATATGTACGGAACCCTTGTGAAATATTCTACAACTTGGTTAAGATTACTTCTTCTAAATAATCTCCCATCAAAAACTCATTTTTGATGCTCATTGTCTCTAAATTGATTAGCCTGGATCTACGGGTGTTACATAAAATCCTAAAATACAATAAAAGAATTAGGTGCAAAAGACGAATTCAATGTCTAGTTATGTTTGGTGGGAAATACATGTACTATGCTCATCAACAAAAAAAAGTCGGTGAAAATAATGAAACCTTATAGTACATGAAAACTGAGTACAATATATTTGGTGCTTGTTAGGGTGTCAAAACCAATAGCTAATAAGGATACAATAGACTCCAAATACACTGCTATAATGCTCTAAAAAGGTAATACAAGGCAAGCAGTGTCAATCCATAGAGACACGAAACAACAGTCTATACTTCTTTACGTAAGGTACTTTTATCACAAAAGGACGGGGTTT